GGGAAGGTGGGTATCATGGAATGTCCGTTTAGTTGAGCAAAGTGTTCTTGTATTGAGGGAGTGCGTGAGTGGAGGCCCTATGCCCATCTGCTACCTTAATACTAAACCTATAAATATATGCACTAGGCGAGCACCAAGCAACCTGCTCTGAGTTAGTGCACCCAGTGGCATCGCCTAGGAAGGTTCTCTCTGGTCACAGTGAATTTTTTCATAAAAGTAGTTTCGCTGGAACCTCTTTTTTTGTGATGGCTGATTTAAGAGAATAGCATGTGGCTGTGAAATTTTGTTTCCTGCTCAGGAGAAATGCCACAGAAACTGTTGTGATGCAGAACACAGGTTACAAGGACAGCAATAGGGGAAACACTCAAGTGTACAGGTGGTTTTCTTGTTTCAAAAAAGGTGAAATGTCAGCTGGCAAACCTCATTCTGGATGTTCATCAACTTCCCTAATGGATGAAAATGTCGACTTGTAGTGCATTTGGAGTTGGTTCCATCAGGTCAGACTGTTAATCAAGCTTTCTATTTAGAGGTTCTGGAAAGATTGCATAACAGTGTACAACAAAAAAAAGGCCTGATTTTTGGTGGACGGAGGACTGGTTTTGCCACCATGACAATGGACCTGCTCACTCAGCCATCTCAGTGCACCAGTTTGGGGCAAAAAGCAGCGTGCCTCTTATGTCCCATGCACCTGACTCACCTAACCTCGCTCCTTGTGACTTCTTTCTGTTTTCACGAATGAAGAGGAACATGAAAGGACAGCAATTTGATGACATAGAAAAGGTGATGAAAAACACGAGGGAGGTGGTGCCGGCTATCCAAACAGAAGATTTTGAAAAATGCTTCCAAGAATGGAATTGCAAATTTGACAAATGTATTAAGTGTAATGGAGAGTACTTTAAGGGGGTTGGGTTGTTTTGTAAAGAAATTAAATATATAGCTTTGAAAAAAATGCTGGTGACAGAGGGTACTCCTATATATAATAAAGCACAAGGAGCACAGTTAGAGAAACTGCTTCGCCAGCAGGACTGAACCACTGCCGGAAGGCTAAGGACCACCGTTTGAGGGGACAACTAGGTAAACTGGCAAAATATGATTCATAAATACAATGTTCGACAGCTAGTCTGTTGAGTAGCCTCTGGGGTCTGAAAAGTTTGTGAGCAGCCATCTAGAAAGCAAATAATGGTTTCTGCCCACCTGGAGCAGAGGAGCACAACTATAAACGAAGACTGGGTGGAGCAATTAGTCCACAGAGCCACTGAAGCACAGCCTCCTGTAACCAGAAGTCTCAGACGGTGCCCAGCTCACGACCGACCACTGTGACCCAGAGCAACAGAAAGTCTCAGGATGGGTAAAAATAAATTTTTTTAAATTCTAATAATAACAATAAAGATCAGACTTACTGGTTTGAAAGACTAGAGGGGCCCTGAGACTAGTGCCCTGAGTTGGCCTGACTTGAAAGTGAAGACATTGCGGAAGCCAGCTTTCGGCACACAATAGAAAGGACTGTCCAACAAACAAGAACACTGGTGAGGACGTTGCTTTCTAGACTTCTTAGAGTCCAAAAAGGGCAAGATTTGCCCAAAGATGAAAAAACAGGATGGAGAAAACAGAGGAACAGAAATGAGGAGCCCAGGAGGGAACAGGGAGAGTACTGACATTTTACAGGAATTGCAACCAATGTCACAGAACAATTTGTTCACGAACTATTGATTGGAAAACTAATTTTCTACGTAAACTTTCACCTAAAGTACAATACCCACTGCATTCAAATAGATTCTGACTCATAGGGGCCTACAAAGGTTTCCAAAGCCGTAAATCTTCACATGAGGAGATAGACTCATCTTTCTCCCAGGAAGAAGCTGGTGGGTTTGAACTGACGTCCTTGTGGTTAACAGCCCAATGCTTATCCGGTAGCACGCACACACACAAGATGGCAACTATGGCTCCAAACCCTCATTTACCCTTCTCAGCAGCACCTGAGGCCCTGTGTTACTAACTAAACTCTCCTCATAGCATTCTGCAGACCCTTAGCTGCCCTGCAGTGACCTGGTACACGACAAAACCCATTCTCTAGTGTACTGTGAGCCTATCCCCAGGTGGCTGGGGAGAGGGAGAGAACTCCAGAACCGCAGTGCGGCCAGCACTGTTCAGCAAGCCTGCTGTGCCCACTCCAGCAGACGTAGCCCCTGCAATGTTCCCGTAAACGCTACATTCTGTTGTAACGTTTTAAAACAGCGATGGATTGAAATCTCCCCATCGATAATCATTGGCCCACAGGTAGTTTACACGTTTCATTTGTGAGCCAGCAATATTATTATCGTGAGGAGCAAGAGCAGATAAAGGTCATGTTGGTAATTAAAGCTATATTCTAGAAATATGCCCACCCAAGATATGATTAAATAAGAAAATATTACTTGGTTCAGTACCATCATTAAACTTGCATTAATTTATAAATATTTAAATGTACCATATGATGATCATAAATAATCTGTTTTTGTCAGTTTCTAGAGTAATGCAACCCATAAACCCTTTAAAAAAATTACTGCAGAAAGAAACAGTCAAGAGAGCAAGTACACAAGGCTGACTTACATTCAAACGCTGTGGTTGTGGCTTCAGGCAGAACCTGGCCTATCACATCCTAAACAAAGAGAGAATAAAGAAACGCAATTAGCCATCTTCTTTATTGCTAACATGTGGCAAATCCTGGAGGAAATATGAGAACCTGGAAAAGATTTTTGAAATGTACACATAAACTATAAAAACATTAGCTCATAATCACACCTAGCCCAGCAATGGAAGCTCAGAGTTTATATCTGTACTCCATGGGTGGGTGGGGGGGGGCAGAGGTGTGGGGAGGAGTAGCAGGTGGGGGTGTCTTTATAAGATTTTTTTCTACTCTCTATTAATAACATACTTTTTTTCATTCTCAACAGTGTGTGCATATACAGTATACATTTACAAAAGAACAGGTTTCTTCTAAGGCAGCAGTTCTCAATCTGTGGGTCGCCTTCGACAGGGGTTGCCCGATTCGTAACAGTAGCAAAATGACATTTATGAAGTAGCTTTGTGGTTGGGGGTCACCACAGCATGAGGAACTGCATGAAAGGGTCTCGGCATTAGGAAGTGAGAACCCCTGCTCTAGGGGATGGAAGGCAGTGGGCAGGAGGGATTTGAGAATCGGAATAGCACAGGTTCTAACTCCAGCTCCGTCCTTACTAGCAATGTGACTCGGAACAAACCAGTCAACTTCTCCGAGCCAGAAGACGCCTTAGAAGCAAGGATGGCAAGATGTTCTCTCACACACTTTGGACGTGGTATCAAGAGGAACTGGTCCCTGGAGAAGGGCATCGCTGGCGCTTGGTAAAGCAGGTCAGATCCACGAGACAGACTAATGGGCACAGTGGCTGCAACAAAGGAGCGGGCCCAGGCAGTGTTTCTTTGTGTCGTACCAAGGGCCACCTAACATCTCTGAGCCTCAAGTTGATCGGCCTCCAAAATGGGTCTGGTGATATCTGAAGCGCGAATGTAAAGATTAACTGATTTAATAAAAATAAACTTTGGGTCTCTCACTCACTGCCATCCAGTCGATTCTGATACACAGGGCCCTGTGGGATTGGGCAGAACTGCCCCTGTGGGTTTCCAAGACTGTCACTCTCTGTGGAAGAAGGAAACCTTGTTTTTCTACTGGAGCACCTGGTGATTCTGAATTGCTGATCAGCCCAACACATAACCACTACACCACCTGGGCAATAAACCCTCAACAAATGTAACTCATGATCCATACCCAACAGCATGCTTAAAAGTTTAAGCATATATTTTCACCATAGTGATATAAAGCTGTTATACTACACTTAATACGAATATTTCTTATCAATAGATTTGACTTTTTTTCAGTGCCATTAAATGTTTTCTGCTTGCTTAATAGTAATTTAATATACAAAAACACAACAACCCTGAACAGTGTATCTAATCTAACATCAACATCTCAATGAGCTAATTAGAGTTGAAAATGACTTCACAGAGGCAGCTTAATCAAGGAGGCAAAATGGAGCGAAAAGAAATGGTCAGTTCTGGGGAAAGGGACCCCACTCGTATGACTGGATGGCCTGTAAATCTCAGTTCTCTCAGGGGAAGTACTGCCCCAGTGTCCCTCCCACCGGTGCGGAGCCAGAATGGGCACCAGCCAGAGGCTTTATCACCTGCTTGCAGAATTTCTCAGCAGGAAGCCGGCCCACAGTCCTTCCAAGCAGGGCACTTGGCAGAGTGTTGGCTGCAACTTCCTTCTGAAGGCAGTTCTTCAGAAGTGTTTGCTGCAGTGGCAATTTGCATAATAGCCTTGCCTCTACAGTGCTTCTGTTTTGGTTTGTTTTTCAAAAATAAGTCTGAGCATATAGAATTGATCAAAGAGAATGGTCTTAGGTGGCCTTGCCAAAAGACATTATTTCTTTCCTTCTGCCTCCAGTCTTAGCAAATAAAATGGCACCTTTGAGAAGAGGTATTTGTAAAACATTTCAGTGTCCAAAATAATTCTTTCTCTACACTTGCAGATAAAAGAAAGTGTCTGTTGACACGTGAATGAAAGCTGCAGAGTGGGTGCGGAGTCCCTGGCCTGGCCTGGGAGCATGCACGCAGGACCCACAAGGTGGGGCTTCTTTGCTCTGCTGCTCCCCAGAGGAGTGCGGCTCCCCTGTGCCTCCTTGTCCCTATGTGTAAGATGGGGTCAGGGCAGTACTTCCTCATGGACTAAAGGAACTTACGTTTAGAAAGCGCTTAGAAAGGAGCTTACATAGTGCCCGTTACAGAAAAAAAGCAAATCACTGATCCGTGGACGATCACAAAGTTTGCCCTACAGTGAAATCTGGACTTGCAGCACCTGCCCATCAGTGGTGTGCCAAGGATGATGGCAGTGGTTCATTTGCTTCATCTTCCAACAGCATTAATTAAGGGACCTTTCTAGCAACTATAGAACAAAGCTAAAAAAAACAAACGCCCTCTCCAGCCCCAAGCTTCCAAGTCTGGAGTCTTGGGTGAGGGAGAAGGAGAAGCCCTCCCACACTCAAAACCCAACCTTGAGACCCAAGCTCACCTCTGCAGCATTTGACACAGATCAGGACCCTTCCGAATTATGAGTGGGAACATTCCCTCAAACAGAGTCGTTTACTAACCAGTGGAAAGCACCGCCAGGCAGCAAGGGCACCCTTTGCCCCTCGATATAAACAAGGTGGAGGAGGCAGAAGAAAAAGCAAACTCACTTGGGAGACTCAACCAGCTATCTTGGGTTTTTTAAGCAAACACAGCAGGTTATCATAATGGCCTCAGAAGAAAGGCCTGGGGATCAAGTTTTGGAAATTGGCTGTTGAAAACCCTGAGGAGCACAATTCTACTGTGACACATGTGGGGTCGCCATGGGTCAGAACTGACTCAATGACAACCGGTTTCCATAATGACCATGGTGATGTGGTAGTTACTACAGAATTTTGTGTCAACTTGAAGATATAAAAGTGTAGTAGTGGAGTGTAGCCTATCAGGTTGTGGCCTGATGGTGCCTCCTTGTGGGTGTGACCTTCTCATAAGGAGGGTCCTGGGAATCTCCCCTTCTCTTGGCCTTCACCTTCCTGTTGACACACCACGCTGATCCGCTAAAGCCCAGTGATGCAGCTACCGCTATTGGATCCATAAGATTTTGCACCCACCAGCCTGGGATCGTCCTGCATTCTGCATCATTGCATGTGGCTGCGTGAGTCTGAAGAGGGATTTATGGACTAGTATTGGACTTATGGGCTGGGATGTTTGCCTGATATATAATTGCTTCTTGTAAAGCTCTCTCTCTTACATATACATGAGTGTCACTGGATTTGTTTCTCTAGTCAACCCAGCCTAATACAGGCAATAAGTTTCCAAATTAATCAAAACCTAATGATCATTTCTAAGCAGTTAATGAGTTCATGTACATGTCCTAGTTTATATCACTGTTCTATGTTTAATGACTGATTTCACAGTGAGAGTGAGCATGGCCCATTCTCCCCACCACATACGTTCTAAGTAGTGTAAAGGTGACAAGGTTGCGTCCGTGGGCTCAGTGTAAGAATAGCTGTGAGGACAGTGCAGACCGGGCAGTCTGACGTTCACAGGGTTCCTAAGAGCACAACCACTCCACACAACCAACAACAACAAAGGTTTCTAAAGAAAAGTTAAGTTTGCATATCTCCAAGGCAATCAATTCTTGATCCTTCCCCCACCCCCTCCTCCCTTTCACTACATCAAGTCAAATATCTGACAGACCAAGATATTAAATTGTTGGTCAAAAAATAAAATCCCACATCTATCATCTGCCAGGAGCACAAAATTCTGAAAGCTATAGGTTGTGGAAGTATAAAACTGAGGAAGATTATAATCTAAAAGACAAGTAACAAAACACTTAGGAGAGCTAAACAAAAGACATAAATAGCAAATAGTGCTTGCGAACAAAGGAAGAAGGAAAAACAGGTTCTGATTTTTCTTTAGAATGAAATGTCAGAGGTAAAGGAGAGCTGGGCTGAGATCTAGAGAGAGAGTGGGACTCAAAGAACCAAATCGAGAGAGGGGGAACATTCTCTTCCAGCAGGTACAAATCCAGACAGCCCCACACTTTGCTGGAACTGGGGACCTAGCCTCCAAGAGAGAGGCACGTACAGAAAGCTGAAAGCCAGACACGACAGGCCACACAAAGGCTCTGCTCTTGTGGAGCTCCAAGACCTACTTCACACCCTAGCTGGCCCCCCCACCAGCCCCTGACCCCTTCCCCCAAACCCCCACAATTATTGTCAAATCAATTCTGGCTCATGGTGATGCTATGTGTCAGAACAGAACATATGTGTTCCTCTGAAGATGACCAGGTCTTTCTTATGAGGTGCCTCTGGGTGGACTACAACTTCCAGCCTTTGGGTTAACAGCCAAGCACATTAACTATCTGCATCACCAAGAAGCTCCTAACTTTCCAGCTAGTCCCTAATGATCCAGATGAAGGAAGACAAAAGGCCCAGAGGGCAGTCACTTGGCCGGGGCCTCACAGCTATGACAAAACTTTGACTGCAGCCCTTAACCACAGACCCGAGGTCCCAAACATTCTGTTAGTTGGCTCAGTTGACTTACTAAAAGCTGCTTTGGGTTTCTGCTCAAAGGCTCTGTCAGAAGCTAATTGTGTGCCTTTAGCTAGGGATTTCCCTCCCCTAGGAATCAGGCACCCTCACCTGAAAGCGCAGGAGCAAGCAATCAGAAGGAGAACATTAAATGAAGGGAAGGCACCAGGTTGTACTCGGCTCCACATTCTAAGGACCTGCTGTTCTCCATCTATTTCTTGGTGAGGAGATGATGTGAGCCTGAAGAACAGAGTCCAAGAGTCCTTGAGGAACTGCACACTCAGAGACAACATAGCACCCGACACCCACGGGGCACTCGGGATTGCGTGATTGGCTTCACAAACATGTGTGTAAATGCACAGCCCTCTGAGCTCCAAACAGAGGGGCATTTGTGTAATTTTCACTTTTAGACCAATAAGCCTTGAGCAAGGGACAAGCAGAAGCAGAGGACCCTTCTCTCTTGTGCTGTAATAATAATTGCTGCTGCTGTCATTAGGTGCTGTCATGGTGGTTCCAGATC